GCGCAAAAGTAATAGCGGAACCGAGAGTGGTATGCCGCTGCTGCGGCTTATATTCAGGTGCGGCTTATAGTCCGAAAATTAAGGTAATCACACAGCTGTTTTGTGACTGCTTTCTCAAAAATGTTTGAGAGGAACGGAAGATTAGAAATAGGTCTATAGTTGGCTAAAACCTCTGGATCGAGGTTAGGGCTGAACGATATGGACAAAATTTCATATCTCGATATTCATGCCAGATATCTCGATATCGATACGATACGATANNNTAGAATGAAAATTACAGGCCTCTCTCATCTTTTTAAGTGGGAGAACTTGCGCAATTGGTGGCTGACTAAATACTTTTTTGCCCCACTGTATGTGATTCTGTTTTCTTCTAGTTTGTATCTTCTTGGTCGAATGCACTTATTGTAAGAGCTTTGGATAAAAGCGTCAGCTAAATGCAATGTAAAGTAAAATAAGAAATACTGTAAGTGTTTCCTAAAAAGAGTGTGGAATGTCAGTTATGAGCAGCAGTAACAACACAAGCATTTAAGGAAAAAGAAAGAAATCCAATGCATTTTCTTGGGGAAAAATCTGAAGAATGCAACTTCTAAATGCACTTTGCTCTTCACACAGTTTGTAAATATTTAACTGGAAGTGTGCCTTCGAACATCCTTTTTCAGTGAGCAGTAACAGCTAAGTTCTCCACAGAAAAACAGAAAACCTGCAGAATATTTCAGAGGTTCAGTTTTTCTTTTCAAGACATAGATCAAAGCACGGCTTACCCATCCAGACCTCTCCAAAGCAGCCCTGTCCGAGCTTCAGATCCAGATGGAGGGAGTCTCTGGGGATCTCCCAGGCGTCCTTAGATAAGCCCTGAGTCTGAGGCTTCAGAACCGGACAAATGTCTGATAGACTGTGACACAGCCCATCAGCATGCTCTGTGAAACACAAGATAAGAAATGTGGTATAAAGACAATTCCTGCTTCTTTCTAAACTACAGAGTGATATCTTTAGGGTACAGGAAACAAAGCAAGTGTCAAAAACCCAAATATGACAATAAGAGAAAAGAAGACTCACTGCGATAGTGGTTGACCAGCTGCTGCAGGTTGCTGAATTGTGTGCGTGATGTGATGTAAAAGCCTCCGCTGTCCAGCTTCCTGATCTTGTAGTGCTTCACATTCAGCCCTTTGGTGTTGTCATAGTCCAACACAGACAGACAATAGGCACCTGGAAAGAAGAAAACATTAATAAATACGAATTATAATGATATGGGGTTATACACGTGTTTGCATGGATGTAAAAAGGAGAAATTAAGCTTTAACGTTTTGGTGACAATGTGGTCATTACACCACCAGAGGGCAGCATCAGTCAGGTTAAATAAACAGAGTATTGTAGCTACTGTACGATGTGGACCGGTGGTTGCACAGTCCTCAGCTCCACACTGACCTAATTCGGGCCAAACCCCCCCCCTCCCCCCANCCCCCAACTCACTCAACTCACCCCCCTCCACCCCCACCTTGTCCCTTTTCTCATTCAACGCCGAGCTAGAAATCCCATAATAGGAAACTACGGGAGCCCTGTAATTTACATGTGTACAAATCACACACTCTTACACACTAGCTGAGGGGAATGTGTCTCTGCATCAGAGAAGCTGACTATCAGAACCATCTCCAGTCCCACAGGCGTCTCATCCAACCTTTTCCCATCTGTCCAAATAGTCTCTCTTCTGCACCCACACCACCACGAACAGCAGGGTGTCACTTCTTAATGCTAAACAGAATTCACTTTCATCTTCTTGGTGACATTTTTTTTTTGAGACCTGAATGTTTGAAAAGTTCAGATCTCATGCAAGAGAACACGAGTAGCTTTCACAAACACTTCTACATTTGACAAAAAGTTGCATTAAGTCAATTATTTACAAATGTACTTGGGTACGATTGAATAAGCCTACCATAGATTGAATAATAACGTCTTCTTCCCCAGGTCTTGACACATTAAATATTTAGAAACTGACCCTCCAATAGTTTCTGTTAAACCCCTGTTCTGTTAGAGAAAGCCAAAAAACGCATAACCCTATTGAGCCCCTTAGGTTTAGTTTTGCTTAATAGAACTGTGTATTATTTGACATATTTTGTTGCTTCAGGTGCAAAACGATAAGCAAGTTTCGGTAATAAATCAAATTGATAACGTGCAAATCAGAATAGGTATCAGAACAACACATTGCTCATTTCTAATACCGTCAATCTAAACAGCTCTCCACTTTGAATATAGTATTTGACACATTTTATTTTCTATTATCTTTTACTGTAAATATTGTCTTTATTCATAATTGGTTAAAATAGTTTTTATAACAGAACTATTTTGGGCTCCTTTTTTAAAACATATTCCTCTTTCTATGTCTATGTATGCACCATTTACACCAAAGCCAATTCCTCAAATTTCTCATTCAAGGCTTTGAAAATGTGTTTTTCATAAAAGATAATGATATTTATTTCAATACAAACTTTTTAATGTTAAAGCATTTGAATCAAACTTTCTATACTGCACACTTTATGTAACTCGATGCTAAGAACACATTTAGGTCACGACTTGAGGTTTCATACCCTTACGTCCGGTCTACAGAGGCAGAATAATGATGAGTTAGCTTCTGTTGCTCCACATGCTTACCTTTGGTGGTCTCACTCTCTCGCACCAGGAAAGTCCCTCTCCTGTTCTCTAAACTTAGCAGCAGCCTCTCAGAGTCGCGGCGAGTGACTTTGCCAAAGTACCACCTGGTGAGGTTGAGAAAGAAAAACATGGGACACACAGGGAACAGGTTGGTGAGGGGGCGATGATGAATGTGGGTGTGGAAGAGAAGGAATGACGAAGCGAGGGTCAGTTATTGCTCATGTTTTCAGAATGTCTTTGCATACCAGATGCAATGCATACTAATGCCTACTGTGCAACAGCTGCTTACCTGGACTCTAGAGTCAGTCTGAGATGACTGGAGAGGCAGGAGGAAAAGTGAAAAATTGAGTTGTTAGAAAAGTATAAAGTAGTTTGTGTGACTTGATTGTTGAAGCAAGCAGGTTAGCAAGTAAAGAACAGCAGTGCATGTCTCCAAGGAGAAGAAAACAGTCAACGTACCAGAGACATTTAAATGAATACTTCCATATTTTGGAAAATACACTTATTTACTTTCTTGTCTAGACTTAAATGCAATGATTAATACCACTCATGTTTGTACGGTCAATACGAAGCTAAAGCCAGTTAGCATAGCATAAGCCTCGAAACTGAGGGAAACAGCTAGCCAAAAAACACTCATGACCGCTTAATTTACATTTCTGCACTAAGTTTTTTACAGATGCAGTATTTACTCAAAATATAGTGCGTTAATAAGTTAACTTTAAGGGTCAACATAGGTGGAATGTGTTACTTTTGGACAGAGGCCAGGGTAGCAGTTTTCCCCTGTTGCTAGTCTCTATTTTAAGCCAAGCTAACGTATGCTAGGTGTAGAGTCATATTAAACGGACGGACATGAGTGTCTTAATTGTCTAATTTTACTCTGGAAAAATAGGCAAACATCATCAAACTGTTCTTCTGAGTGCTCATTTTGTATTCACAATTGAATAAAAAAGCAAGATTATTTTATAGAATCAAGTATTTGAGTGTCATAGCTTTCACATGCTTGATGAAACACAGATTGAAAAGGAAGAGTAAGGAGGAAAAAGGAGGTTTTACTCTTCTGCCTGGATGGAGTCAGATGGAGCCACATAATTGCTGGGGATGTAACCGCTCTCTCCAGTGGTCAGGGAGCGAGCCAGCCACCAGTCGCCTTCTCTGCACAGATGAAACGAAAAACACACGGAGGCTCATCACACATCCACAACACACACACAAACAGTCCTTCTGACTTTAAGGGCTAGTGTTTATCAAGTGTCTCAGAGTATGAATACTTTATTGCTGAGGATTTAGCTTTTTTGTGTATTCACTCAAAACATTTTTGTTGTTGTTGCCAGTTATTGAGCTCCTGGAGACACTTGATAAATAAAAAGCCCAGATATCTTTACTGTTAACAAATATATTTGAAGGTTATGCAACTATGAACAAACATGCATCCATGTGGGAATGACAACCGTGAGGGATGGAGCTTGTGTGCTAAACTTAATCAGGATGTGAGTAGCTTTGCAGCACTGTATTAATTTAGAGAATCCTAAATTAAATTACAGTTTAATTACAATAATTTATTCGTCTTGTTGAGATTAATTGAATAAAGTGCTGCAAGGCTTTACACCACCTCCCCCTGACTACTGTAGGGTTTATGGGGCAGAGTTATGTGGTTTGTGCCTTTCTAGAGAAGTGGTTTTACGGCAAAAGTAGAACATGTGCTTCAGGTGATACAAACACACAGCCAGACAAACAGCACATTCAAATACAACGCTAGAGGAGCTTCACAAACCTGCAGTTCACCTTCCTCCTGTAAAAAAAAAGGTTTGTGATGGAGAAATGGAAAGTAGAGATGAAAGGGAAATAATGGAAAAGAGATTAAAGAAATACAGAGAGCACGTTTTGAGCAGTGGAAGAACAGCAGAGGACACAGAACACACTCATAACACGACCAATATGCATAAAGCTATGCATGTAAAAATATTTAAACCATTACAGAACTTGCTGACAAAGGATTAGGCTGACTACTTGCAGGGTCATAATAATATCATAAAAAGAGCCCATCAGGTCACTATGCATGGCTTAAAAAGTAGAAATGATCTAAGCTAAGACGAGTGTATCTGACTGTGATAGCCCGTCAACTAATCTTGGATATGTTTTAATGGATTCTGGGTGTATTTGACCCAATAACGACCCAGGTCTTTGGCTTAAGGGGCCAGATGCAGCGATAATCCACTATTGTGCTTGGCTTCTGCCTTCTAGTTCAGTAGTTTGTAAATGGGCAAGCAGCACTGGGGGTGATTCATTGTCAATGTATTGGTCACTGCACCCATATTGATTCATAAAGCAAGCCCCTATTTAAACAAACAAGCATGACTCTCATAAGCAGGTTAGATTTATGTGGTAACTGGGTCTTGCACAGTGTCTAATTCCCAGGAAAAAGCGATACAAATATCCATGTCCATACTGAGGTGGGCTGAGCAATATTTTTTGAATGAAGCAAAAAGTGTCTGTGACACAAAAAGCAAGCTCCACTGACGGAAGCCCGTTTCTATGGTTACAGTGGCTTTCAGAGAGACGACAAGTGACATGCGTTTTGGATGCAAAGCAGCCAGTCAGACCACTGAGGACAAACTCAGACAGTCTGTGGGCGTGTTTATCTGCAGAATTTGTCATCAAACACACAGCGAATGTGTAGGAAAAAGTGTTCTTGGATCAATCTTTAGTTAACTTGTTTGTAAAAAGGGAAACAGAAATGAGCATTGGATTATTTTTGTGTTTTCCTTACGTGTTGTTCACTATCTGGAGGCGTTCGCCCTTCCTGAAGGAGAGGTCTGAGGCCGTCCTAGACTCGTAGTCATACAAAGCCACGAAGGTCGTCACGCCTCCTATCAGGGGATAACGGTTGGAGATTATTCACACAGGAAATAAAACAACCGACAAAACAAACCAAGCTGATGTCCTCACCTGCTAGTGTGATTCTGTTGGGAGAGGTGACAGCGTTATTGTCCACGCCTCCAAACAGGGTCAGCTCTGAGGTTTTGGTCATGGACGGATTGCCCCCCGGACCATCCATAGCAGCATTACGGTTGGGTGTGAGGGACTGTTGGTTGGAGTGGTGTCCGCCGGCTCCCCCTCCGGAGCTGAGGGTGCCCTCGAGGCTGCGGGTTCGATGGCCGACATCCTTGGGCTTACTCTTGGATCCCCCCATGGCCCAGGACTGCAGAGCATTCAAGGACAGAGAGGAAAAGTCAATGAGATTGAGTGTAATACAATAAAATTGCATTTCAAGGCACTTTTAAAGAGGAATACCATAATAAATGTACATTGCTTCTTATATTATTTTCTCAGAATACATGCTCTGGAAAAATTCCTCTGACAGCAAATACGCCAGATGCAGAAACCAGAGACGTGGCTCTAAGCCCACTGAGACTCAGTATCATGTAGACCACATGAACCACAGCTTCCCAACGGATAGGGGAGCAGCTGCCACTCCTTGTTCAGCGCAGACATGACACACACTGCCACCAGCTGAGCGCACACACACACACACACACACACACACACACACACACACACACACACACACACACACACACACACACACACACACACACACACACACACACACACACACACACACGTGTCAGAAACAGATGCATATACAGAGACATATATCAACACTTTATTCAAACTGATCATTTAAAGATGAGTCAGCTATTTTTTGTAAAGTTACCGCCCACCACACCCTTTTTACATCACTGCTACAATACTCATTGAGGGGTAACTAATGCTTTTCATCTTTGATTTAGAGCTAAATATGAGCTGATTAACAGGAGATTAGTCATCAATAATTTAATTAATTTGCAAGGCTATGCTCAGGCAAAGTGTTGCTAGCAAGCCAACGTGCTCACATGATAATGTTAAAGGGGCCATATTAGGCTTTTGTGAGTCTTCCCTTTCCTGTTGTGTGTTATAGGTTTGTACTACAGTCAGCATGTCGTTGTGTCCCTGAGACACCAAATTGCTCCTGTGGGGATTGCCCATAGTATTGATTATGTAAGTCGCTTTGGAGAAAAGTATCTAACAAGTAACATGTACTGTAACACATTGTACGTGATAGGCTAAGGGGCGGGACAACTCTAAGTGGTTGACCAATCACAACTGGGCTCTGGTTTCAGACAGAGGGTGAAAAGAGGTGCTGCAGCCCAGGCAGTATGAGAAAAATAAAGAGGTTTTTGAACATTAAATCATGTGAAAATGTCACAGTAGAGAAACAACATACTGATATGAACCTGAACAGGCCCCCTTTAATGAATCACTATGTTCACCTGTTAGTTGATAACTGAAGTAACGTTGGCCTTGTGTGCTTGGGAAGTAGCTACAAATTGCCTAGAAGAAACGTAAATGCTCTGTTGCTTGTGTGAACTGCAGGGTAATAATTCTCTGTTGTTACATCACTTCAAGTGCATGACCCTGTTTGCTTTACTCTTAGCTCATGTGATCCATTGTTAATTTAAAATAATTGATCAGTGCAGCTTTAATGGTAAAAAAAAAAAATTAGTTGAAACTCTACTGTGCAGCCACAGATCAATGTGTGTTCTCTGGATCATCTCCCCTTATGCAACAGCACATTACTTGAAGATAGCTTTTATTTTATTTAGTTTCAAATAAATGTAATCAGTGAAAGCATCAGTGAGTTCTCGGCAAAGGACAACATTTGAGACGATCAAACAAGATCTAATAAAAACAGACCAAAGGTCAAGAGGGCAGTTTTGAATTGCATTTTGTTCCTCTTCATCACTGAAGCTTCACCCGCACACTCTGATGAAGTGGCTCTAATAACAGCTTAGTGTCGGGAAATCATTACACTAAGCCAAGGATAATTTAGAGACTCAAGCCTGTGCTATCATGGTTGGATATAGCCACAGGGGTCAACTAGAAAATGCTAATTTACAAAAAAAAACATTTAGGTGGGGTGGCTTTAGAGTCCATTCTGATAAACAGAGGAGTGTGTGGGGAGTGTCAAGCTGCTCCGCCTTCTGCTCACATCCTCTGCATGACTCTTGCTATTTAGGAGGACATGTTGGATCTGACATTGGAGTCAGCATGTCCTCACTTTCATTCACAGGCTAATCCTAAATGAGCCACTACGCTACACAGGCTAGCAGGCACGCTCCCAGTCACAGTGATGCAGTGACATATGCTAGGCAAATGTGTGGCACAGAGAAGAGCACAGTTATCTAACCAAGCTAGAGATATTACGGAAGCTGTCATGGTTTCTGTCATTTTGGAAGCTTCCTCATTGCCCCCCTTTTTTTCAGACAATCTGCTAGGAGATAAGACGCAGAGACAATGTAGGAGACATGGGCTTTCAGTCAGTTGTAGGAGATTCATCGAGTATATGTGCACATTGGAGCGCATCCAGCAGTTTAAATAGACAGAGCGATGGATAGAGGACCGAAAGGACGAGAGGAGCGAGAAAGGGGAGAGGAATAAGGCTGCTCAATTTAGAAAATATAAATAATGCAATTATTTTGTCCGATATAGGAGGATGTGATCATTATGTCATTAACTTCATTGAAAAATATACTCAAATTATCATGGTGTGATTTTTTACAAGGATCTGGACCAAATATATGTTTGTTATGTCTTTAGAACATGGTTGTAGGCTGGGGTATCTCTGCATTTCCACAATACTTTATAATAAAAAAAGGTATTTTTAACACATATTTAGACTTTAACAAATATTTCCAACCTGCAATTTGAATTTTGCAACAGTCCATATTGCAATTTCCATCACATTTTGATGAATCGTGCTGCCCTAGAGGGGCACATAGCACAGCGGTTCATTTTAGGTTGGCCCCACAAATGGGCAAGGTGGGGGGGGGGGGGGAGAGGAAGTAAGTGGAGAGGGGGTCAATGAGGGCCGGACAGTCGATATCTCCCCCTGAGGTCATGTTTGCACAAAGGGGGTCGCATCCCAGTTAGTGTAACGTAGCGTGCAGGTTGGCACACACAGAGCGCAGACACAAAGATGACGGGTGTCTCAGGGAGCAGCTCTGTGTATGATGTGTGCTCAGACTGGTTGCATAGTTAATAAGCCATCGGAGCACGGGGGAGACGCTTTTTCCTCTCATCTCCAGTCATTCGCTGCGTAAAGGCTCTCCACCGTTTGACAGATGAAGCTTTCACTTAAGGGTTTGTCGCCTTAATGAGATATCTCAGACGGTGGTTAAATAACACATTTTGTGGACAGACCATAACTAAATAATGGTGACTGACTTGTGCAGGCATATGCGTGTTTGGAGGCAGCTGTATATATATATTTATTTTCCCTCCCAATACTCTGACCCAGACTGCGTACCCAGACTAAAACACTGCACAGCGACGACCAAGGAAACACCAAACGGTCTCTGGCTTTTCTTCACACTCAGTTTGCAACAAAGCCCTCTTTTGTCAGATCACAGCAGGCGGCATAAACAAGACACAGAAGTGGCCTGTGGCTTGCGGGCTGCCAGATTTGAGCGTGGTTTAGCTCCAACAGCCGGCAGGAAATATGGAAACACAGGAAGTCATGAAGCCAGACAATGTCATGTTTTGCAGGACTCATGTTTGCGAGTGTCTCATCAGCAGCTAATATAACGAGAGCTTGATTCTGGCCTAATAGGGTTTAGGCACTGTAACAAGCGCCCACTGTCTGTGGGGGAAGGCAGGGCTGCATGTAAAATCCCTCTGGCAAGCAAGAAGGGGGGTATGTGGCTGGCTGGGTGGGGGATTTACTTAATTATGCATAAGATCTGACAATGAATTCCAAATCCTTCAAGTCTCCTGGGCTTTTGGTAAAAGGGAATAGTCTTTTAATATTGCTTCCGGGGTTGTTTTCCCCCCTACACATCCCTGTTTTGCTTGCTTTTCATTCGGTATGAAAGGAAAACAATTACAACCCATGAATAGTAGCCTCTCATTGAAATAAAAGAAAAGAGGTGTTGTCATTCATCAAAAAAGAGGCTGGTGGAGTGTTTGCCAAGGCAGGATCATGACACTGGTCCGTTTTTCACTAACAACACCGGCTTTGTAGGGGTACTGTGCACTGACTAGTTTAAAAAAAATCTTGGTATGGTTGCAGGAAGGAGGAAATAGGCTTCAAATTTGAACAATCTTGCTTCAGATGTTTGTATGCATTCTTTTTTTTGCAGACAACAAAAAACATAACGGGAGGAATAACATAACTTGCATAACTTCACCTGTTGTACATCAGATATAATCATTCCTTTCCTCATGAAACAACACATGTACAGATTCTGTCCTTCCCTTCACATCAACAAAATGACACCACGATACCTGTACTGGTATGTTAGTATCATTACATTCCAGAGGAAACAAGTACAAGTGCAGTGAATCAAAGTAAGTACGAAATAAAATAAAATAAATAGGTGGTGCTTGAGTCAGGTGTTGTCTGTTTTAATGGCGACCATGTTTTATTAAACGTATCTGTTTTCAGCTGTAACCTTGTTGTGATTCTTTCCTTAGAATAAACATTCTTTTTTGTACTCGATGTACTATGCTAGGGGAGTGTCGCTTTAGCCAAGAAACTGTTATCATTGGTTCTGCTATTAAAAGTTGAATTCTTAGTAAGAAAACCACATTTCTGTCTGTCATCACCGGGCAGTAGTTTGGAATGCATTCTTATCAGAGACTTCCCACTTTGAAGCTGAAGCAAAACCAAACTCATACTGAGAGAAACTCAGCTATGTGAAGTGGCATGTCAGGACCTGAATGCTGCAATGACAGCTACAGTAGACCCTTCACTTGTCCCTCCTTGCTATAGGCCTGTGATATAACACATGGCATGTTCTGAGAGTCTACCTTCACTTAAAGACCCGCCACCTGATGCCTCAGGCAGAAAGGGGAAAAGTCACATTTAGGCATATTATGCAACACTACAATTACAACATCGGACACTTGTCTTCACACTTTGTAGGAATGACAAGAGCTAGTTCATAAAGACGGGACTTTCGTAAGTTCACATTGAATCACTGAAGGCAAGAAATATGAGATGAGCTACAATTCCAAGAAAGAGAAATACAGAAGAAAGTGCAGCCGTAGTTTAAAAAGATTTTTTTTTTTGACATGGTCTACTTTTTATCTTTATGCATTATTAAATCATTTGAATAAAAAGATGAGTTTCCAAGGTGAGTCTCAAGATACTGTG